GAGTTGACTTTGAGCCAATCACTGGAAGTGAAATAATGCTCTAGAAAGCGGGAAGACTATAGTTTCAGGCCTTTCCCAATTCGGCATGACTTCCTTGGCAAGAGCAGTCAAGAAGATGCACGTAACAGGACCCTTAGGAGGCTGAGCCTGGCAAAGGGCTCCTCCCACCTTTACCTTCCATAAGCCACAGCAGGGAGCACCACCCAGGGTCTGATGCACCCTGCCCTCTAGCCAAGGGTGGGGCCCTGCAATTTCCTGGGTCACCCAGAGGGCTTCAGAGATACAGAAAGCCACATATAATTTTATATTGCCTAGCATATAGCTGTGTCTATAAAATGTGAACCATAAGGAGCAATACATGGTTTCATATATGTTTAGCTATATATACCTATAAAAATCGATGTAATGATTTCATACACATTAAGGGACATGTAAATAAAAAAGCTCTTACACATGTGGATGGTTGCATATGAATGCATATATTTATAATTATAATTATAAAGGAAGCTGAATTCTGACAGAAGACTTAAGACAGAGGGCTCTTTGGTAAAGAGCCTTGAATACAGCACAGCTGCAAAAGTCAATTTTGATGGAAAGACGTACAGATGTTGTACAACCCTCCTGCCTTGTTTCGGATGGGCAGGCCGTGTCTGGGAAGAGCGTGCCGTGCATCGCGCCTGCTGGAGAGCAGGAGTCAGAGTCTGAATCCATGTGTGTGATGAGGAGGGAACATGCTTCACCATAGAGTAACAGAGTCATTGTAACCCAGTCATAGTCTCTGCGTGTGTGTGTGTGAGCATGGGTGTTTGAGTGTGCACATGTCATATTCTGTTTGTGTGCCTATGCATGTCTTTGAATGTGCCCATATGCATGTGTTTGTATGTTGTGTGGCAGGCTCTTTGTGGTAACAAAATATCATGGAGCTGCCCAGGGGATTATATCCAGTGATGTAATTGGATATAATACTTTGACAAGAGTGGCAGACCATCACTCCAAAGAACATTAAGGTTGGTTTGATTTTCCAAACTTTTTCATTATTTGGTCAGCTCCAGCAGAACTCATGACTAGGTCTAGCTGGGAAGAATTCAGGTTGAGTCCACATAGCCCAGGGCAGTTGTGGGAGACTTGGGGTGGGACGTGGTAAAAGAGCAATAACACACCTGTGCTTCCCTCATTTCTCTCAGATGCTGGTTCCGATTTTAATTCAAATTTAGCTGTTAGTGGGTGATTCCAATTCCTCCCATCAAGATTCTGTCTTTCAACGTTTTATTATCAAAGTTTTCAAACTTACATGAAGGAGAGAGTACAGTGTGATGAGCATCCATTGATCTACCTTGGTTAAATAATTTTCAATATTTTGCTATATTGATTCATCTATCCCCTATTTCCTTTCTAAGAACATTTTTGGTTGTCATGTTTTAAAGTAAATTCTTGACATGCCATTCCATCTGTAAATACTTCACTAAGTACAATAAATAAGGACAATTTGTTACATAGCCCCAATATCCTTATCACACCTAACATAGTCAATAATTCTTCAATATTATCTAACTTCTAGTCCATAATTAAATTTCCTCCAGTTGTCTGGAAAAAAATGTATTTTGCATTCTGATCAATGAAATAGAATTGAGAATCCAGAAATAAACCAATACATCCTTAGGCAATGAATTGTTTGGAATGTACTAACACCACCCAAATGGGGAAGAAGAGTCTCCTCTACACATAGTGCAGGACAACTGCACATCCACATGCAAAAGGATGGAGGTGGACCCTTACCCAGAGACCTACATAGAAAAGCTAAAACTGTAAAACTGTTAGAAGAAAATACTGGGGCAGGTCTCCATGACCTTGGATGCAGCAATGGTTTATTGGATATGAAAGCAAAAAGCACAAGAAACAAAAACAAAAAAAATAGATAAATTTGACTTTTTCAAAGTAAAAATGTTTGCGTATCAAGGTATACTCGGAAGAGAGTGAAAAGAGAACCCTTGTGGGCTCACAAAGATGTACAGATCACACACCTGCTTGCTGTAGACACTCCCTCCCTGAACCATCCTAGTTTCTACTTTGCTATGGAACTTCCTGACAGGTCAGCCCAGCCAGAGCTGCCATGTGCCATAGTACCTACCCCTTCTGTAGCTCTCTGAGATCCCTGGTGTCACAGGTGACGAGTAGATCACTCTTGCACCCTTTGCCACTTCTTCCTCCTCACCCCACCCTGAGAACACGATGGCAAACACCACATACCACCTCTCTGGCCCATTCCAGATGTTCGGGTAGTGCTCTGTGCCTGCCACCCCCCAACCAGCCATCAAAGTCCACCATGATCCTGTCTTGACTGGGTTCGCTGGCCTTATTTTATGCATCTGTCCAGCTCTTGTCTCACAAGCTCCCAAGCTATTTTTCCTCCCCACTCCATTCCTTTTCCTAGCTTGTTCCCCACTCTTGTCTTTCCTTTGTGTCACTTCCTCAGCATAAACCCTGCCCCAGAGAGGTGAAAGGGGAAAGGGCATCCCATTGCGTGACTGATACTGGGAAAGTTTTGGTAATTATTTAACAAGATAGGAGCTTGTACCCTGAGATGTGGTTTCAACACTTGAGTACTATAGGAGGTGGTTCAACACACTCACATTACCTTGCGTAAGAGCCTGAGTCTAAATAGGTGAAATGGGGAGAAAATATCCCACCTCTCAGAGCAGTTCAAATACAAGGCTGCATGATGAAATATGACAATGTGTGCAGCAGCCTGGCATATGACCGTTGAGTCAGCAGTAGCCATGATTAGGTGAGTGACATTCATTTTCTAGCACAATCATTTCCAATTTCCACAATGTTAGTAATATTCACCCTACATTCAGGCTGTCTTCAAAACGACACGACCAGATGCCAACATTCTCTTCTTGAAGCAACCTCCCACGAATTATTTCATCTTCAGATGGGTGGACTGTCCCCTTAGGGAGACTTCACGCATTAAATTTAAAGGAAGCCAACAGATACTGGCTCTTTTTTTCAGGCTAGAGTGCGTGGCATCATGATAAGTTCAGCAACTCAAACCCTGGGCTTAAGCCATCCTCTCCCTGAGCCTCCACAGTCAATAGGACTACAGGCCCGTGTCCCAAGCCCAGATAATCTTTTTAAATATTCTGTAGGACAGGTCTGCTCTGTTCTCAGGCTGGTCTCAAACTCCTGGCTGCAAGTCGTCCTCTGCCTTGGGCCTAATGTGGCTAGGACCTCAGGTGGGGCACTGCCCAGTTCAGGTTGTCTTTATTAAGTTTCTTGGGAAAAGTAAAAGGGATGCAGTAGGAGAAATTCCTTTTGCTTAATCCGTGCTAATCCCTACAGGAAAATGCTTTTAGCCTTTTGGTATGCATTTTTATTTTTGAAATGATTTCTATAACACATATGGCTAATATGAATCGTCCTCTTATTATTAAAATATAACCTATTAATAAAAATCAGGACTGTACATGTTTCTCTTTGCACTTTTCATGCTGTTAATGTAAGAATGTGTAGCGCTTCAGTCCCATGTCAATATGAATAGTCCAGTATTCTTTGAAATTCATTCTGAATCTTTGTTTCATATGTATATAGCTATTGTGCTTTATAACTCATTGTAGTAGTTCTGTGTTAAAGGGGTGTGTATTTTTCCTAGATCATTAAAGTGGTGGTGTGAGTATCAATTGTACTTCTTATAGGGTGATGATCTAAGCCAGATATGACCCGCTATATTATGTTTTAATGTTTCAATTCCTCTAGTGGAATTAAACAAAGTCAAGACTGCCAATGCTCTGATAGTCATGTCCTGATGCATTAATCAATTAATCTATTTAGCCAATTGAATTGAATGTCAATCTTTATATACTTTTAATTATATCATACATTTATTTTTCATGTGTTTTGAGCTCCTTGTGTTGGTCAGATTTCTCTATTTAGTGTACCAGCACGGTATTTTGATCATAATTAGTTTGTAGTAAATTTTACATTGGCAGGGAGAAGCCCCATATAATATATTTTGCAATGGTTCTGTTGATCCTATAATTATTGATCTTTATAACTTAAATGCTTTTGTTTAGTTTCAAAAAAGCTAAAAAACTTTAGGATTGGTGTTTTTCATTACTAAATATTTATTTAATTGGAGAAAAGAGACTGGCAACCTTGTTATTAAATCTTCCTTTGCAGAATATATATTGGTGCTTTATTTATCCAGATTTTGTTTCTAATGTATATCGCATAAATTTGCACCAACATTAGATTTTCTTTATCATTTGATTGGAATTATGTAGGCTTTATGTATTTTCAACTTTTTTGTTTAAGTGGCATTTATTCTATTTTGACCAAACTATAGGTGATTTGAAATACAGCTTTGGTTTTATGTCATTTTACCATCGGAGAGAAGTGATATTTATGTATTGTTCTGGTTCTTCCAAAGTTCAGTAGACTTTGTAACAGCAGCTCACATATCTCTCATCATTGGCGCTGTCTTGGGTGAGTTGACTTTGAGCCATCACTGGAACGTGAAATAAATGTCTGAAAGCGAGACTATAAGTTTCAGGCCTCCCAATTAGGCATGATTCCTTGGCAATGTTGAGGCAAGAAGATGCACGTGACAGGACCCTTAGGAGGCGCTGAGCTGGCAAGGGCTCTTCAACCTTTACCTTCACAGAGCCACAGCGGGAGCACCACCAGGGGTCTGATGGCCCTGCCCTCTATGCCAAGGGTGGGGCTGCTGAATTTCTGGGTCACCAGAGGGCTTCAGAGAATACCGAAAAGCCAGCATATTTTATTATTGCCTAGAATATAGCTGTGTCTATAAATGTGAACCATAAGGCCAATACGATGGTCTTCAGATTATGTTAGCGGATATATACTATAAAAATCATGTAATGATTTCTACAACATTAAGGGCATGTAATAAAGTCTTACACATGTGGATGGTTGAAATGAATGATTTATATTTTATTATAATTATAAATCAAAGACAATCATCTGAAAGTACTCCAGTCAGCAAGGTAAATGGTGACTAAGCAGATGTCTAGTAACAGAAAGAGCCCTTTTGTGTTCCTGACACGGCTTATACTCCCAGAAGGGCTACAGAAGCCCTCATTAAATGGTCCTCCAGGTGTTACCCAATGAGCACCAGTGGGCTCTCCCATGAAGGCATCTGTTAAAGTTTCATAATGCAATTCAGTCCAGTGCCACAAATGTGCCTGTGTACTTTCTCTGTGCAAGGCATAGCATGGGTACTCTGGAAAGAGACTGAAACAGGAAGATCATACATCCTGTGACCCCACGGAGTGCTCAGCACAGTGGGGGAGACCAGTACATCTTTCCTGAAGGAGGGTCTCATGAGGTGATGGGGTGAGCCCACAGCAGAGGTCTGTATCTGGCTGGAATGTGGAAGTGTGGAGGACAGAGGGAGGCGTCTCAGCAGAGTGCTGGGGCAGCACAGGGCAGTGACCACGCACTGCATGCAGCGTAGCTGAGGGAAGCAATTTGAAATACCTGCCAGTCACTTCCCATCACATTCCTGGACTGGTCCATGAGGAAGGTGTTGTCCATCTTATTTCAGCATTTCAGAGGCATCAGCGGGTTGCAAACCGAAAAAGACAAGCAGCAATGCCTACACATGCAGAGATGCATGTGAACAACAATTTCTTGCTAGTTAGGAGGTCAATGCTAAGGACCTCGCTGTGCTTCCTGTGAACATGGATGCCAATTTCTTTCTGGGTAGAGAGCCTTCGGTATTTTGAAGATAAAATTCCACGCTTTGCTTTGGGACAAATTCCAAAAATATAAGCTTTGTTCAAATTTACTTTTCTTTTTATCTTCCTTAGTTGTCCAGGTTCAAAAGTATTGCTTAATAAATCTGTTTCTAAACTCACATTGTTCTACTGGCATGAATTGTCCCCAAGGCAAAGACCACAGGCTACTTTTGCGAGGACACATGTCACTGGGAATTTCCGGAAATGCTAATCTCTTATTATTGTGCTTAAGAGTCAATCATTGGCAGTGAGTGTAATTTTTCCAATTAACATGTGAGTACACGCCCTGATTTGGGTGCAGCTTTTATGCCCGCCCTTCTTCCACCTGCTGCGTTACACGAGCTGGGAATCCAGGCGGCTGGGTTGCTCCGGGCTGCGGTTCTGCCATGGCTCCTGCGGCGCTGCCTGGGCCCCTGGCCCTGTGTGTGTGTCTGCTGCTGACGTCCGGCCTGGCCGAGGCAGGCAAGCTGCTGGTGGTGCCCATGGACGGCAGCCACTGGTTTACCATGCGGTCCGTGGTGGAGAAACTCATCCACAAAGGGCACGAGCTGGTTGTGGTCATTCCGGACGTGAGTTGGCAACTGGGACAATCACTGAATTGTACAGTGAAGACTTATAAAACTTCTCACACCCTGCACGATTTGAACCGTGAGTTTGTGAGTTTTGCTGATGCTCAATGGAAAAATCAGGGTCAAACTTTATATTCTCTTTTAATGACTTCAGCCAGAGGTTTCTTTGAAATTGTTTTTTCGCACTGTAGGGATTTGTTTAATGACAAAAAATTGGTAGAATACTTAAAAGAGAGTTCTTTTGATGCTGTGTTTTTGGATCCTTTTGATCTGTGTGGCTTAATTGTGGCCAAGTATTTTTCGCTCCCCTCTGTGGTCTTCAGCAGGGGAATATTTTGTCATTATCTTGAGGAAGGTGCCCAGTGCCCGGCTGCTCTTTCTTATGTTCCCAGAATTCTCTTTGGATTCTCAGATGCCATGACTTTTATGGAGAGAGTACGGAACTATATCTTCCACTTGGAGGAACATTTATTTTGCCCCCATTTTTTTAAAACGGGGTTAGAAATTGCCTCTGAAATCCTCCAGACACCTGTCACGGCGTATGACCTCTTCAGCCACACATCAATCTGGCTGCTGCGAACCGACTTTGTTTTGGACTATCCCAGGCCTGTGATGCCCAACATGATCTTCGTCGGTGGCATCAACTGCAAGCAGGGAAAGCCACTGTCTGAGGTGAGTTGTCTCTCTTGTAGCTCATGAGGAGTTATCTGGCTTTGGACATTAAGAGAAGAAAAAAGTTTCCTTCCTTAGGAGTGATGTGTCGTTTGCCTTTGTTGGATTTTGAATTCTCTGTATTTTAACAAATTATTTTGTGCCAATTCCCTTAATGTGGGTTAGCAAATATTATAAATCCTCCCATTGATGTGTATATGTATACACTTGAGATAGTTGTACATAATTTTTAGGCTGTATTTTGTGTAAAGTCAGGTGGGGTTTTTGGTGTTGCTCAGACTGGCCTCAAATTCCTGGCTAAAACAGTTCTCTTGCTTCAGCCTTCTGGTCAGCTTAGATTACAGTCTTATGTCACCTAGCCCAATAGAAGGTGGGATTTTTTTATTTGTTTTTGATACAGGGTCTCATTCTTTTGTCCAGGCTAGAGTGCAGTGGCATCATGATAGTTCATTGCAACCTCAAACCCTGGGCTTAAGCAATCCTCCTCCCTGAGCCTCCCAAGTCAATAGGACTACAGGCCCGTGTCACCAAGCCCAGATAATCTTTTAAAAATATTCTGTAGAGACAGGTCTGGCTCTGTTTCTCAGGCTGGTCTCAAACTCCTGGGCTCAAGTCGTCCTCCTGCCTTGGCCTCCAATGTGCTAGGACTACTGGCGTGGGCCACTGCCCAGCTCAGGCTGCATTTATTAAGTCTTTTTGGAAAAGTAATAAAGGACACAGTAAGAGAAGAAGCTTCCCTTTTTTGCTAATCTCGTGCTACTCCCTACAAGAAAATGCTCCTAGCAGTTCTTTTTTTTTTTTTTTTTTTTTGAGACAGAGTCTCACTCTGTTGCCCAGGCTAGAGTGAGTGCCATGGCATCAGCCTAGCTCACAGCAACCTTAATCACCTGGGCTCAAGTGATCCTACTGCCTCAGCTTCCCTAGTAGCTGGGACTACAGGCATGCACCACCATGCCCAGCTAATTTTTTCTATATGTTTTTAGTTGGCCCTCCTAGCAGTTCTGTATGCACTGTTTTCAATTTTTGAAATCATGTTTTATAACTCCATATGGCCAATGTGAATTGTCACATCAATATTATTAAAATATAACCTATTAATAATATCAGGCTGCACATGTTTTTTACTTTGCACTATCCACTTGCTGATAATTCGTAGAATCGTGTGTAGCTGCTTCAGTTTTCACTTGTTATTTTCATAGATATATTGGCCATCTGCATTTCCTCTTTTGTGAAATACATCTTGACATTCTTTATTCATATGTTTATAGCTATTTGTGTTTTTATAACTCATTGTTATCAGGCTCTTAAATGTTAGGGATGTTAATCCATCGCTTTTCATATGTGCTGCAAGTGTTTTTCCTCGGCTTTTCTTCATCTTTTGTCATGTGGGGTTTTCGTGATTGAGTAGTCACATTGGTTAACTTTTTCTTCCATGATTTCTGGATTTCAACTTTTATAGGTCTTTCTAAGCCTGAAATATAATAAATGTTTTCTCCATATTATGTTTTAATGTTTTCAATTCCTCAAATGGTGATAGTATTATTCGTTTTTACAATGAGCACTTCAATCTATGCAAAATGAAGATCATTTTCTTTTCACAAAGTTTAGTCCATTGTCCTGATGCCATTTAATCAAAAATTCATTCTTTAGCCATTGAATTGAAATGCATCTTTATCACACTTTAAACTTCTATCAATATATTTATTTGCATCTGCTTCTGGGCTCTCTGTGTTGTCCACTGATTTGTCTATGTATGTGCCAGCAACATATTTTGATTATACTAGTTTTGTAGTAAGTATTCACATCTGGCAGGGCAAACTCCATGCTAAATATTACTTTTCCAAATGTTCTTGGTGATCCTCGTAATTTATTCTCTTTCATAAATTTAAAATGCTCTTCTCTAGTTTCAAAAGTAAAAAGAAAAATTTTGGACTGTTATTATTACATTAAATATTTATATTAATTGAGAAAGACTGGCAACATTTTGTTATTAACTCTTCCTTTGCAGAAATATATATTTCTTTTTATTTATCTTGTTTTATGTCCATCTATAAAATTTTGCACCTCATAAAAGCATTTTTTCTTTTTTATTCAATAGAATTTATGCTAGGCTTTTAGTATTTTCTAAACTTTTGTTCTGAGGGCAATTTTTCCATTTCTATTTTGAACAGACTATCAATGATTAAAATACAGCTTTGGTTTTTGTTATTTTATTAGGGAGGAACTAAGTATCTTTATCTAATGTTCTGGCTTCTTCCAAAGTTCAGTAGACTTTGTAACAGTCACATTCTCTCATCCTTGGCAGATGTTTGGTGAGTGACTTTGAGCCAATCACTGGAAGTGAAATAATGCTCTAGAAAGCGGGAAGACTATAGTTTCAGGCCTTTCCCAATTAGACATGACTTCCTTGGCAAGAGCAGGCAAGAAGATGCATGTGACAGGACCCTTAGGAGGCTGAGCCTGGCAAAGGGCTCCTCTCACCTTTACCTTCCATGAGCCACAGCAGGGAGCACCACCCAGGGTCTGATGCGCCCTGCCCTCTAGCCAAGGGTGGGGCCCTGCAATTTCCTGGGTCACCCAGAGGGCTTCAGAGATACAGAAAGCCACATATAATATCATAATTTTATATTGCCTAGCATATAGCTGTGTCTATAAAATGTGAACCATAAGGAGCAACACATGGTTTCATATATGTTTGGCTATATATACCTATAAAAATCGATGTAATAAATGATTTTATACACATGTTAAGGGACATGTAAGTAAAAAAGCTCTTACACATGCAAACAGTCACATATGAATGCATATATTTATAATTATAATTATAAAGCATGCTGAAATCTGACAATGGAATTGAGATTTCAGAGAGGGCACTTTGACAGAGAGCCTTATACAGAACAGGTACAAAAGTCAATTTTGATGGAAAGACATTTGGATGCTGTACAACCCTCCTGCCTTGTTTCGGATGGGCAGGCCGTGTCTTGGAAGAGCGTGCCGTGCGTCCAGCAGGATCAGACTCTGAATCCTTGTGTGTGATGAGCAGAGAACATGCTTCACCATAGACTAACAGAGCCATTGTATCCCAGTCATAGTCTGTGTGTGTGTGTGTGTGTATGTTCATGGGTGTTTGAGTGTGTGCATGTCATATTCTGTGTGCGTGTGCCTGTGCATGTGTGTTTGAGTCTGCCCATGTGCATGTGTTTGCATGTGGTGTGGCAGGCCCTATGTGGTTACAAAATATCATCGAGGTGACCATGGGATTATATCCTGTGATGTAATTGGATATAATACTTTGACAAGGATGGCAGACCATCACTCCAAAGAACATTAAGATTGGTTTGATATTCCAGATTTTTCATTATTTGGTCAGTTCCAGCATAACTCATGACTGGGTCTAGCTTGGAAGAATTCAGGTTGAGTCCACATAATCCAGGGCAGTGTGGGAGACCTGGGGTGGTAACACAGCAATGACACACCTGTGCTTCCCTCACTTCTCTCACATGCTGGGTCCAATTTTAATTTACATTTAGCTGTTAGTGGGTGATTCCAATTCCTCCCATCAAGATTCTGTCTTTCAACGTTTTATTATCAAAGTTTTCAAACTTACATGAAGGAGAGAGTACAGTGTGAGGAGCATCCATTGATCCACCTTGGTTAAATAATTTTCAATGTTTTGCTGTATTGATTCATCCATCCCCTATTTCCTCTCTAAGAACATTTTTAGTTGTCATGTTTTAAAGTAAATTCTTGACATATCATTCTATCCATAAATACTTCACTAAGTACAAAAAATAAGGACAATTTGTTACATAGACCCAATATCCTTATCACACCTAACATAGTCAATAATTCTTCAATGTTATATAATTTCTAGTCTATAATTAAATTTCCTCCAGTTGTCTGGAAAAAAATGTCTTTTGCATTCAGATCAATGAAACAGAATTGAGAATCCAGAAATAAACCAATACATCCTTGGGCAATAGATTTTTTGACAAGGGTACTAAGACCACCCAAATGGGGAAGAAGAGTCTCCTCTACACATAGTGCAGGACAACTGCACATCCACATGCAAAAGGATGGAGGTGGACCCTTACCCCATCCCATGCACAAAATTTTACTTGAAATGGATCAAAGACCTACATAGAAAAGCTAAAACTGTAAAACTGTTAGAAGAAAATACTGGGGCAGATCTCCATGACCTTGAATGTGGCAATGGTTTCTTGGATATGACAGCAAAAAGCACAAGAAACAAAAGCAAAAAAGTAGATAAATTTGACTTCTTCAAAGTAAAAAATGTTTGTGCATCAAGGTACAGTCGGAAGAGAGTGAAAACAGAACCCACATGGGCTTACAAAGATGTACACATGCATACACCTGCTGGCTGTAGATGCTCCCTCCTTGAACCATCCTAGTTTCCACTTTGCTATGGAACTTCCTGACAGGTGAGCCCAGCTGAAGCCGCCATGTGCCTTAGCACCTTCCCCTTGTTGTCACAGGTGACGAGTGGTTCACTCTTGCACCCGCTGCCACTTCTCCCTCCTCCCACCCTGAGAACACGATGGCAAACACTACACACCACCTCTTTGGCCCACTCCAGATGGTTGGGGGGTGCTCTGTGGCCTGCCACCATCCAACCAGCCATCAACGTCCGCCATGATTGTGTCTTGCCTGGGTTCACTGGGCTTACTTTATGCATCTGTTCAGCTCTTCTCTCTCCAGCTCCAGGCTATTTTTCCTCCTCACTGCATTCCTTTTTCTAGCTCCTTCCCCACTCTTCTTTCCTTTGTGACACTTCCTCAGAATGAACCCTGCCCCAGAGAGGTGAAAAGGGAAAGAGCATCCCATTGCATGACTAATACTGGGAAGGTTTCGGCAATTATTTAACAAGATAGGAGCTTGTACCCAGAGATGTGGTTTCAAACATAGGAGGTGGTTCATGCACTCACATTACCTTGTGTAGGAGCCTGAGTCTAAATAGGTGACATGGGGAGAAAATATCCCACCTCTCAGAGCAGTTCAAATACAAGACTGCATGATGAAATAAGACAGTGCGTGCACCTTGGGTGGACTATCTCAATAGCCTACTTAGGCTCTAGGTCAGGTATCATCCCTGTCTAATCCAGCTTCCATACAGGAATGAATGAGGGAGTCAAGGAGAAAATAATTTTCACTTCAGCTAAAAGTCTGAGAAATTAAGAATAGGGATAGTGGTAGATGAAGCTGGAAAGGCAGGAACTAAAGTGAATTCGAGGCCAAGAAATTTGTATTTGCAATATTTGCAGGTATCTGTGGGTCAGGAAAATTCAGGAAGTGTTGATAGGGGAAGAACTGGAGGCAGAAGACCACCTAGGAGGCAAAAGGTCTACACTGGAAAATGACAGTGGGAATAGCCTGTGTTCAGTTCTCATCAGGCTTGACTCTGCTACGTTGCCTACTCAGTAGCCTCTCCTCCCTGGCTCCAGGATATTCTATCCTCTGCTTCTCCTATGCCTGTTGTGCTTCAACACCCCCCTTCCTAATAGCAAATATTCCTCAAACTTCTATTCCCTGACCAAGAATGACCCCTGGAAGTTTAGCTCCACGAGGACATGGGCTTTGCCTTGTTCATAGCGATATCCCCAGCAACCTAAACAGTGTGTTTCTCATCACAGGATCTCAATATTTATGGAATGAATGAATGGCCTCTTAACACCACCACCCTTCCTTTCATCAGAATCAAAGTCTTGGAGCTATATTTGAAACTTTGTCTTTTGTCTATGAATCTAACTAGTGGCAACTCAAAGTGTTGCCTGCACAGTGTTCTTCCATTCCCATGGCTCCCTCTCCTCCTATCAGACCCTCCTTAAGTCTCACCTGGGTTAGGATGATAGCTATTTAAGTGGACTCCCATTTTGCCCATCTCATCCTGCGCGTCTCTCAGCTCAAAATTCTCTGCCAAAGAAGCTTCAATGATTCCTCAATGTCCGCTGCAGAAATGCTTCATTTTGATGTTTCAGTTCACTCATGTCCCAACACTTTTTTCATACTGTGTGTCTCAGTACTCACCTATTCTCCAGTCAAAGTGTCTCCAAGTGTGCCATATGCCTTCTTGCCTGCGATCCTATTCATGTTGACCTTCTGCAAAGGGGGGACATCTTCTCATGTCCTCCCTGCAATCCTAGTTAGCATAAAAGCCCATCTCAAATTCTAAGTCATCTGTAAATATTTTCCAGATCTCTCTAAACAAGATATGATCTTTTCTTTCTGTAAGCCTTCAGTATAATATGTACCTCTCCTGTAGTTTCTGTCTCTAGCAAAGTCGTATCTATTCTTTTTGTTAGTGTCTCCAAGCCAGAGGTTATACCCTATCTTCCCTGTAGCCCCTGTAGCAGTTAACAATAAAAATATTGCATTATGATTGATAATACTGATATATGGCTTTGTATAATAGTTTAGAGTGAAATTTAAAATCTTTTATTTCATTTGCTCCACAGGAAATTAGAGTCAAATCTGTAAAGAAGTTGACCCTACTCTGTATTGATGAAGGTTTCACCCAAATATTCCCACCATGTGAGGGGATGCACAAGAAAGATTAATAATGCTTTTTAAAGGTTGTGAGCATTTACTCTGCCAGGCAAATGCACAGGGTGTCTAAGTACTTTCTTATTTCATTCTTATAAGCATCCCACAAGTTGGGAACTGATACTATTTCCATTTTACACATGAGGATGTTGAGGTACTGAGAGATCATTTTTACAAGGTTACACAGCAAATAAGTCTTAAATAACATTTGAATTCTGGCGATCAGACTCTAGGTCTGCACACTTAACCACTGGCATGGGGTCACAGGTTGAGAACTGATCAAAGAATGCCCACCTGGCAGTCACCTGCTGCTAGAGACAATTAGCCTGAAGTACAGTTCCAGCTTTGCTGTTGACCACTTATCTCAATCAACAAGAAAGTAGATAAAGAAATATAGAGCCTCTATATTTCTGTTTAGCCTTTCTGCTAATTGATAATTTTGTCTTACGACTTCGAAGTTTATCATAGAAAAATTTTGTAACTGTTTGCTCATATAGATAAATTAAGGGATCTCTAGAAACTTCTGAGGAAACTTAAAACCTAAATGAATTATCTGTTATTATATAAATCTGTAACCACTGGCAGCTAATCTCTGCACCAATAAATACTGATGTGGAACTTTACTTGGGGCCTCACAGCTCATGGGAATGCTGGAGGACCCCTGACTTCCCCATCTTTTTAAACTATACTTCATCTCTTGTCTCAGTTTCTCTATTATTTCTCTATTTCTATTATTTCCATATCTCTTGCAATGATCCTGCCTGGGACCTGTTTTTGCTGGGAGTGTAGCTAACTCAGCACTCATGAACCAATTTCTGCTAGCTTGAGTCTTTTCTTCTGCAGCTTCTTCACCACTCTCAGCCATCATGGAGTGGAAGAGAATTAGGGCTTTGCTCTGTATTGGGCTTTAACTTAAGAGAATATCGTGGCTGATCTGGTCTTTTATTTGAACCACTCAAACTGTGTCCATATCAGCAATAAGGCTGTTTCACTTACCCTTTGTGTGGTCACTGCAATAGTGCTTTTAATTTCCTACAAGAGCTTTTCATTGGTGTTCACAACTTAGCTAACTTTTTGGCACAAGAGGCTGGGCTTTCAGCCTATCTCAGTTTTGGGCATGCCCTCTTCATTAAAATGAATCGTGTCTAGTTTTGGGTTTTAATTAAGACATGTGCAACTCTTCCTTTGACTTGAACACTCATAGGCCATTGTAGGGCATTAGTTGGCCTAATATAAATATTGTTGTGTCTCATTAAATAGGGAGGCCTGAGGAGAGGGAGAGAGATGGGGCAATGGTTGGTTAGTGGAGCAGTCACAACACACGCAACATGTATCATTTAAGGTCGCTGTGTCATGTGCACAAGTTTTGTGGTGCCCCAAACAAGTACAATACTGATATCAAAGATCACTGATCAGATCACCATAACAGTTATTTATTTATTTATTTTTGAGCCAGAGTCTCACTCTGTTGCCCAGGCTAGAGTGAGTGCTGTGGCGTCAGCCTAGCTCACAGCAACCTCAATCTCCTGGACTCAAGTGATCCTCCTGCCTCAGCCTCCCAAGTAGCTGGGACTACAGGCATGCGCCACCATGCCCAGCTAATTTTTTCTATATATATATTAGTTGGCCAATTAATTTCTTTGTATTCTTAGTAGAGATGGGGTCTCGCTCTTGCTCAGGCTGGTTTTGAACTCCTGACCTGGAGCAATCTGCCTGCTTTGGCCTCCTAGAGTGCTAGGATTACAGGCGTGAGCCACCATGCCCGGCCACCGTAACAGTTATAACAAGAGTAAGTCTGAACTATTGTGAGAATTAGCAATGTGTGACACAGGGACAGGAAGTGAGCACATGCTGTCGGAAAAATGGTACCCATGAATTTGCTCAATGCAGGGTTGCCACAAACCTTCAATTTGTAAAAAGCAATTGAAGTGCAGTAAAGGAGCACAATAAGACAAGGTATGCCTGCATCATTATGGCACATCTATCACAAGTCACCTACTAATATTGGTTCATCGTGATGACCTAAAGTCTATATTTTATTCAGATTTCATTAGTTTTTACCTAATGTCCTTTTCCTTTTTCCAGATCCCATCTAGACATGACCTGACATTGAGTCATCATGTCTTCTTAGGCTCCTCTAGCCTGTGACAGTCTCTCAGCCTTTCCTTGTTTTTAGAAGCCTTGACAGTTTTGAGAAGTACTGGTCAGGTGTTCTGTAGCTTTTTCCTCATTTTCTATTTGTCTGGTGGTGTTACCATGGTTAGACTGAGGTTATAGGTTTTGGGAGGAAGACCACAGTGGTGATGTCTTTTTTTGCTTTCTTGCAAATGGATACCCACTAGCTGAAAAGATTATTCTTTTCTGCACAGAGTTACCACGGCATCAGTGTAAAAACTTGGCTGTTCACACGCCTGTGCGTCTAATTCTGGACTTTGTATTTTGTTCCATCGATCTACTTGTGAAGTATTTGATTACTATAGCTCTGTAATAAGTCTTGAATTGTGATGGTGTTAGCCCTCCAACATTGTTCATTGTTTTTCAAAGTTGTTTTTGCTATTAGGAGTCTTCTAAATTTCCATATGAATTTTAGAACCCTTTTGCCAGTTGTACAAAAAAATCCTGCTGCTTTGGATTTTTGTTGGGATTGTACTGAATTTAGAGTTCAAGTTGGGAGAATTGAGGTCTTCATTTTGAGTTTTTCAATTCAGGAACATGACATAGTTATGTATTTATATCTTTCACCAGTGTTTTTAGTTTTCAGTGTTTACTCTTTCACATCTTTTGTCAGATTTATCCCTAAGTATTTCATATTTTTGATGATTTAAGTGGTATTTTTTATTCTAATTTTCAGTTGTTTGTTGCTGGTATATAGAAATAAAAGTAAGTTTTATGCATAATTTTGTATCTAGCAACTATGTTAAACTTGTTAAACTATGTTAAACTTGCTCATTTGTTCTGGACAATTTTGTAGATTCAGTTGGAGATTCTACATAGATGATAATGTTGTCTGTGAATGAGATCCTTTTACCTTTTCTTTCCAATCTGTGTACTCTTTTCCTGTTTCTTGTTTGGCTCCCCTGGGTAGAACTTCCAGGACAATATTGAATTGAGGTGGTAAAAACAGCCATCCTTGGCATGTATCCAATTTGAGGGGAAAATTCAGTCATTCACCACAGAGTATAAAGTTAACCCTGGGTTTTTTAAAGATGAACATTATTAGATTGGGGAACTTCTTTTCTTTTTTTAGGTTTTTAATAATTTTTATCAGAAATGGCTTTTGTATTTTCTCAAATACTTTTTTCTTTTTTTTCTCAAATACTTTTACTGGGCCTATTGAAATGATTATATTCTTTAGGTTTATTTGTATGCTGCATTCTCTTGATTGATTTTATTTTTATTATTTTTTTTTTTTTTTTTTTTTTTTAACCTGGGTCCTCTAGGCTATATTATTTTTTATTTTTAATTGTGGCAAAATACAGATAATATAAAACTTACATCTTAGCCACTTTTACATGTGTAGTTCAGTATTGAGTGTGCTCACATTGCTGTGCAGGCGTTACCACCATTCGTGGCCAGAACGCTTTTTTCATCTTCCCCACCAAAACTTTGGATCCATGAAACAATAATTCACCATTCCTCCCTCACCCTAGCCACCAGCAACCATTTCACTCTCTGATTCTATGAATTTGACTATTTTAGATACCTTATATAAGTGGAATTACATAGTATGAGTCTTTTTGAGACTGGATTATTTCCCTTGGTAAATGTCCTCGATGCACACATATGTGTGTGTGTGTACAAAATCTCATTTTGCTTATGCATTGATTGGTGGATGGACACCTGGGTTGCTTTACCTCTTCACACCTCTGTTGTGAGTAATGCTGCTATGGACATGGCTGTATAACCTTGAATGTTGAACCAGACTTGGATTCCTGGGATAAACTCCACTTGATTATGGTATACTCTATGTTTATATATTTTTATATGTTTTTGAATTAGATTTGCTAAAATTTTGTTTAGAATTTTTGCATCTAGGGACATGAGGGTCTGTAGTTTTTCTTTCTTGTAAGGTTTCAGTATTGAAGGGTTTGTAGGGTTTGTGGCAGTGAGTGGCTGGCTTTTAGTAAGGCTTTTTGTAAGGTTTCCTATACATTGCAGAGATGCTTGTCTATGCTGGTCTCATAGAATGAATGTGGAAATTCCCTACGCTCCAATTTTATGGACTAGATAGGGAGGAATTGGCATTCTTTCTTCCTTCCATGATTGGTAGAATTCATCAGTGAAGTCATCTGGACCTGATGTTTTATTTGTGGGAAAGGTTGAATTATAAATTTGATTTCAACTTGAAAAGTATAGGTTATTTCTATTTTGATTATTTGTTCTTGGGTAAAGTCAGGTAGCTTGTGTGTTTTCAGGAATTTGTCCATTTCACTTAAGTTCTGGAACTTTTTGGCATAAATGTGTTCATGATATTCTATTATAATATACTATCTATAAAATGTGTGGTAATGTCACCTCTCTCATTCTTGTTATTGGTAATTGTTTTCTTCTCTCCCTCTTTTTTCTGATCAGCGTGCCGAGACCATTGTCAAGTTAATTGATCATCTCAAAGAAATAGCTTTGTGTTTTAATGATTTTCTCTGTTGTTTTTCTATTTTCTATTTCATTGATTTGTACTCTGAAGTAAGCCTCCAAGGAAGAAGATCCCTCAATGCCATTTTTAGTTTTCAATGACAATCATCTGAAGGTACTCCAGTAAGCAGATGTCTAGTAACAGAAAGAGCCCTTTTGTGTTCCTGACAAGGCTTATACTCCCAGAAGGGCTGCAGAAGCCCTCATTAAATGGTCCTCCAGGTGTTACCTGATGCACACCAATGGGCTCTCCCATGAAGGCATCTGGAAAACCTTCATAATGCAATTCAGTCCCGTGCCACAAATGTGCCTGTGTACTTTCTCTGCGCAAGACATAGCATGGGCACTCTGGAAAGAGACTGAAACAGGAAGAACATACATCCTGTGACCGCAAGGAATGCTCAGCACAGTGGGGGAGACCAGTACATCTTTCCTAAAGGAGGGTCTCATGAGGTGATGGGGCGAGCCCACAGCAGAGGTCTGTACCCCTGGCTGGAATGTGGAAGTGTGGAGGACAGAGGGAGGCGTCTCAGCAGAGTGCTGGGGCAGCACAGGGCAGTGACCACCCACTGCATGCAGCGTAGCTGAGGGAAGCAATTTGAAATACCTGCCAGTCACTTCCCATCACATGCCTCGATTGGTCCATGAGGAAGGAGTTGTCCAACTTATTTCAGCATTTCAGAGGCATCAGTGGTTTGGAAACAGAAACAGACAAGCAGTAATTCCTACACATTGCAGAGATGCTTGTCAACAATTTCTTGCCAGTTTAGGAGGTCAATGCTAAGGACCTCGCTGTGTTTCCTGGAAACATAGATGTTGATTTCTTTCTGGGTAGAGAGCCTTTGGTATTTTGAAGATAAAATTCCACATTTTGCTTTGGGACAAATTCTAAAAATACAAGCTTTATTCAAATTTACTTTTCTTTTTATCTTTCTGAGTTGTCCAAGTTCAAAAGTATTGCTTAATAAATCTGTTTCTAAACTCACATTGTTGTACCAGCGTGAACTGTCCCCAGGGCAAAGATCGCAGGCTACTTTTGCCTGGAAATTTGTAATTGGGAATCTCAGCAAATGCTAATCATTTATTATTGTGCTTATGAGTAAATCATTGGCCATGTGTGTGGCTTTTAGTAAACATGTGAGTACACGCCCTGTGTTGGGTGCAGCTTTGTGCCTGCACTTCTCCTGCCTGCTGCATTACACAAGCTGGGGATCCAGGCGGCTGGGTTGCTCCTGGCTGCGGTTCTGCCATGGCTCCTGCAGCGCTGCCCGGGCCCCTGGCCTTGTGTGTGTGTTTGCTGCTGACGTCCGGCCTGGCCAAGGCAGGCAAGCTGCTGGTGGTGCCCATGGACGGCAGCCACTGGTTTACCATGCGGTCCGTGGTGGAGAATCTCATCCACAAAGGGCACGAGCTGGTTGTGGTCATTCCGGACGTGAGTTGGCAACTGGGACAATCATTGAATTGTACAGTGAAGACTTATAAAACTTCTCACACCCTGGAGGATTTGAACCGTGCGTTTATGAGTTTTGCTGATGCTCAATGGAAAAATCAGGGTCAAACTTTATATTCTCTTTTAATGACTACAGCCAGAGGTTTCTTTGAAATTATTTTTTCGCACTGTAGGGATTTGTTTAATGACAAAAAATTAGTAGAATACTTAAAAGAGAGTTCTTTTGATGCTGTGTTTTTGGATCCTTTTGATATGTGTGGCTTAATCGTTGCCAAGTACTTTTCGCTCCCCTCTGTGGTCTTCAGCCGGGATGTATTTTGTCATTATCTTGAGGAAGGTGCCCAGTGCCCGGCTGCTCTTTCTTATGTTCCCAGAATTCTCTTAGGATTCTCGGATGCCATGACTTTTATGGAGAGAGTACGGAACCATATCTTCCACTTGGAGGAGCATTTATTTTGCCCCCATTTTTTTAAAACGGGGTTAGAAATTGCCTCTGAAATCCTCCAGACACCTGTCACGGCGTATGACCTCTTCAGCCACACATCAATCTGGCTGCTGCGAACCGACTTTGTTTTTGACTATCCCAGGCCTGTGATGCCCAACGTGATCTTCATTGGTGGGATCAACTGCAAGCAGGGAAAGCCACTGTCTGAGGTGAGCTGGCTCTCCCTTAGCACAATAGGCATAATCTGGCTTTTGATTTCCAAAAAAAGATTCCTTACTGGACTATGAATTGTCATTTACATTCATCAAATTTGGAATTTCTTTCTGGTTTAATGAATTATTTACTTGTGGATCAGCAAATTTTCAAATTATGCATATATATATAGTGTAATTATACACACACACAATTGATATAGTTGTACATCATTTCCAAGCTGCATTTTTAAAAATAGAAATGGGGTGTCACTATGTTGCCTAGCTGGCCTGGAACCTCGTGTCTGATCCTCCCAGTTCAGCCTCCCCACTGCCTGCGATTACAGGTTTATGCTATGATTCCCAGCTTCCAGGCTATATTTTTTAATATTGTTTATGTGAAAGTAATGAAAAACACAATAAGAAATGTAACTTCCCTTTTTTCCTAATCCTATACTATCCCCTATAGGAAAACTACTCTGAGAAGTTTTATATGCATCATTTTCAATTTTTGAAGTCATTTTCCATGTATCCATGTAGCCAATGTAAATTCTATGGTAGGTGTATGTTTCCCTTTTTATTTTATTTTTTTTATTTCAGCATATTATGGGGGTACAGATTTTAAGGTTTCAATAAATGCCCTTCCCCCCCAAGTCTGAGTTTCCAGCATGACCATCCCTCAGATGGTACACATGTCACTCATTATGTATGTATATACCTGCCCCCTCTCCCCTTCCCCCTCCCCAATACCCTATTACTGTAGTACCTATGTGTCCACTTAGGTGCTACTCAGTTAATACCAGTTTGCTGGTGAGTATATGTGGTGCTTGTTTTTCCATTCTTGGGATACTTCACTTAGTAGTATGGGTTCCAGCTCTAACCAGGAAAATATAAGATGTGCTATGTCACCATTGTTTCTTAGAGCTGAATAGTACTCCATGGTATACATATACCACATTTTATTAATCCATTCTTGGATTGATGGGCACTTGGGCTGTTTCCACAGCCTTGCAATTATGAATTGTGCTGCTATAAACATTCGAGTGCAGGTGTCTTTTTTGTAGAGTGTCATTGGATCTTTTGGGTAGATGCCCAGCAATGGGATTGCTGGATCAAATGGTAGATTCACTTGTATTGCTTTAAGGTATCTCCATATTGCTTTCCACAGAGGTTGAACTAGTTTGCAGTCCCACCAGCAGTGTAGGAGTGTTCTTCTCTCTCCACATCCACATCAGCATTTGTTATTTGGAGACTTTTTGATAAAGGCCATTCTCACTGGAGTTAAGTGATATCTCATTGTAGTTTTGATTTGCATTTCCCTGATGATTAGAGATCATGAGCATTTTTTCATATGTTTGTTGGCCATTCTTCTACCAGACACTATTCCCAGGTGGCAGGACCATTGTGCATTCCCTCCAGCAGTATGTTAGAGGCCCAGTTCTTTTCCCTGCTCCTGGACACTGGGCTTGGTCAGTCTTTTCACTGTAACCGCTCTACTGGGTGTGCAATTACATCACACTTTTGATTTCTGTAGTCAAAATGACGCTGAGCATCTTTACATGTGTCTGTTTACCATCTGCATATCTGCTTTGGTAAGTATCTGTGGAAATGTTCACCCATTTCAAAAACATTTGAATTTTTTTGTTTTGTCATTGTTGAGTTTTAAAAGCTCTTTATACATTCTCCTTATAAGTTCTTTATCCGATATATCCTCTGCAAATGTTTTCTCCCAGGTTGCAGACTGTCTCTCTTTTTTAAAATAAACTTTGTATTTTGGAATAATTTTATATTTATAGCAATGTTGCAAAATATGTTACAGAGAATTTCCATGTGCCCATTCCCTATTTTTTTTCCTTGTCAGTAAATCCTATTTTCTATGGCACATTTATCACAACTCTGAACCAATGTTAATACGTTATGATGAACTAATGTTCATAGTTTATTCTGAGTTCATTGGTTTTTTTCCTAATGTTTTTTCCTTCCTGGGATCCCATCTAGGACACAATATGAAATTAGTCTTCATGTTCTCAGGCTCCCTTAGCCTGTGATAGTCTCCCAGACTTTCCTTGCTACTGGCGACATTGGTGGTTTTGAGCGGTAGTGGGTCAGGTATTAGGTAGAATGTTTCTCAGTTTGGGTTTCTCTGATTTTTTTTTACCATGGTTAAATCGGGGTTACAGACCCCAGAGGTAATGTCTGTTCTTGCATCTTGCTATGGCTATGCAATTGTTGAAAAGATTGTTCTTTTCTCTACTGAATTGGCTTTGCAACTTTGTAAAAACCTGGTGCCCATATGTCTGTGCATCTATTTCTGTATTCCCTATTCTGTTCCATTGCTATATTCATGAAATATTAGATCACCACTCTGGCTTTGTAGTAAGTCTTGAAATGAGGTACTACTAGCTGTTTAATATTTTTCTTCTTTTCAGAGTTGTTTTGGCTAGTGTAGGTCTTTCACATTTTCATGGGAGTTTTAGCATCAGTTTGCCAATTTCTACCAAAAAGCCTGCTGGCATATTAGTTGGGATTTGTTGAATTTATTGACCAAGTTAAGAGAGTAGGCTTCCTCAGAATCTTCTTGCTTCCCATTTATGAATATGGTATATCTCTGTATTTATTTAGAACTTCTTTAGTATCTCTCATCAATAGTTTTGTACTTTTCAGTGTATAGTCTTTCACATCTTTGGTCAGATTTGCCCCTAACATTTCATATTTCTGATGCTATTTAAATGCTCTTTAGATTCAAGTTTCCAAGTGTTCATTGCAATTACAATTGACCCTTGAACAGTGGGAAGGTTAGGAACACCAGCCCTGCCATGCAGTTGAATTCCACATGTAGCTTTTCATTCCCCAAATAATTAACATCTGCTGTTTACCAGAAGGCTTACCAAGAAGAGAAACACTCAATGAATACACATTTCTTTGTGTGGTGTATACTGTATTCTCACCATTGGGTTTTGGCACTGCTGCTTCTCCATCTTTGTCCTCAGCACCTGGCCCTGGTCCAGAGCACTTATCTCCAGCAAGTTCATCTTCTGTTAACTAACTGCTCAGTGTGCTGGGCACAAGCTCCTGAACTCCTCCAAGACCCATATGTTGAAACACTTTATGCCCCTTTTATCTGTTTTCTTTGGCCACATCCACAGTCTTCTTCGTTATTTACTTGCACAACAGCTAGACACAGTTTTCTACAGCAGAAGATGACTGCTTTAGGCTTGATGGGTTTCACAGCTTCTTGTATCACAACAATGGCATCTTCAGTGGTGAAATCCTTCTGTGTTTTCCTGATGTTCTCTCTGTGGGGACCCTCTTCCATAGCGTCGCCAATCCTGTCCATACAGTGCTTTGTGCAATGAGCCCAAAGATCCTCATGGGCCCCGATCTAGAGGCTGAATTAGAGGCATTGTGCTTGTGGCAAGTAGAGCACTTTGACCCCTTCCGTGCTGAACTCATGGGGTTGTGGGTGGCCAGCGGCATTGTCCAATATCAAGAGAACTTTGACAAGCAGTCCCTTACTGGCAAGGTAGTTTCTGACTTCACAGACAAAGCATTGATGGAACCCATCCAGAAAAAGTGTTCTTGTTGTCTAGGCCTTCTTGTCATGCAACCTAGAGACTTATCTTTTCCTTGGGGGTTAGCAGCTTTGCAGATAAGGGCAGCCATGATCATAAACCCAGAGGCATTTGCACAAATTATTTTATTTTATTATTTTTTATTTTTTAATTTTTTTTGAGACAGAGTCTCGCTTTGTTGTCCAGGCTAGAGTGAGTGCCGTGGTGTCAGCCTAGCTCACAGCAACCTCAAACTCCTGGGCTCGAGCGATCCTTCTGCCTCAGCCTCCCGAGTAGCTGGGACTACAGGCATGACTCACCATGCCCGGCTAGTTTTTTATATATATATCAGTTGGCCAATTAATTTCTTTCTATTTATAGTAGAGACGGGTCTCGCTCTTGCTCAGGCTGGTTTTGAACTCCTGACCTTGAGCAATCCGCCCACCTCGGCCTCCCAAGAGCTAGGATTACAGGCGTGAGCCACTGCGCCTGGCCTATTTTATTTTTTTTATTTCAGCATATTATGGGGGTACAGATTTTAAGGTTTCAATAAATGCCCTTCCCCCCCAAGTCTGAGTTTCCAGTATGACCATCCCTCAGATGGTACACATGTCACTCATTATGTATGTATATACCTGCCCCTCTCCCTCCCCTCCCCAATACCCTATTACTGTAGTACCTATGTGTCCACTTAGGTGCTACTCAGTTAATACCAGTTTGCTGGTGAGTATATGTGGTGCTTGTTTTTCCATTCTTGGGATACTTCACTTAGTAGTATGGGTTCAGCTCTAACCAGGGAAAATATAAGATGTGCTATGTCACCATTGTTTCTTAGAGCTGAATAGTACTCCATGGTATACATATCACCACATTTTATTAATCCATTCTTGGATTGATGGGCACTTGGGCTGTTTCCACAGCCTTGCAATTATGAATTGTGCTGCTATAAACATTCGAGTGCAGGTGTCTTTTTGTAGAGTGTCATTGGATCTTTGGGTAGATGCCAGCAATGGGATTGCTGGATCAAATGGTAGATTCACTTGTATTCTTTAAGGTATCTCCATATTGCTTTCCACAAGGTTGAACTAGTTTGCAGTCCCCACCATGCAGTTTAGGAGACACAATTGATATAGTTGTACATCATTTCCAAGCTGCATTTTTAAAAATAGAAATGGGGTGTCACTATGTTGCCTAGCTGGCCTGGAACCTCGTGTCTGATCCTCCCAGTTCAGCCTCCCCACTGCCTGCGATTACAGGTTTATGCTATGATTCCCAGCTTCCAGGCTATATTTTTTAATATTGTTTATGTGAAAGTAATGAAAAACACAATAAGAAATGTAACTTCCCTTTTTTCCTAATCCTATACTATCCCCTATAGGAAAACTACTCTGAGAAGTTTTATATGCATCATTTTCAATTTTTGAAGTCATTTTCCATGTATCCATGTAGCCAATGTAAATTCTATGGTAGGTGTATGTTTCCCTTTTTATTTTATT